TTTGAAAGAACTGAGGAAAAAATGAATGTTCAAATAAAGAAATAAATATTTCAAATTATTTATTTCGATTCTTCTAAGTGAAAGAAAGGACTCAAAAAGTAGTTACGGATTCGCTTGGTCTCGAAGTGTGTTAGCGGCTTCAGCATTATTCAGTGGAAATATAGAGGAGCATGCTGGTTCTAAATCGACGCACGAGATTATAGTTGGGCGTTGTACTGCCTGTGCATTTGCCTGGACGGCTTTATTGCAAATTTTAATCTCCACATCAGCTTCAGCATTCGTGCCATATGAAAAGAAGAAAAAAATCGCACAAACGAAATATATTATTGTCAACATCGAATTCAATGAAATGACAAAAAAGAACGCTTAAATTATATTTTTATAATAAATTTTTGCTAGGAAAACAGCAAATATCCCTCATCCGAGTTGCAAAAGTTAATCAAAAAATCGTTTTCAAAACAGTTTTATAAACAAAATTTTTTTGCCAAACAGGAAATAAGTAAAAAATATATAAATTTATTTAAATTATAATTGTTTCATTTTTGTTTTATTTTTCAGTGAATTCATTTGATTTTCAAGTTCACAAATATTTGATTATCAATGAAACAAAACAAATTTAAATTTTTCAATATTTTGTAGTTTCAAATTTGTATTTTCGAAATAAAATATAAATTTTATAATTTAGCAAAATTTTTTATAAATTTTTTTTAGGTTAAATCGTATAGCGATGCAACGATGAGCGATACATATTTTATGAATGTAGAAGATTTAATGAGTTGATAACAATGAAATAAGATTGGAGAAAAATAATTTAAACACATTTTTGCACCTTTTCAAGTGAAATTAGAATATTTGATGGAAATCTTTGCATGCATGCGATTTATTAAAACAAAAATCTTCGCCTACGATTTTCAGTTCGTTTCCATTCCCATTTTTCGGCTTTTCTTTTAGTCTATTTTGTTATCCTTTTGACTCAGTGGATTTGTGCTCACGTTTTGCCGTGTCGATGCTTTGGCTCCATTCCGTTGAAGCTTTTCAGAAATCGGATGATATTACGATCCATGCTACTTCTATTATGGGTCCCTATTAAAATTTCTTTGATCCAACAAGTGAATCAGCCTGGCCTAATGAAAAATTGTATGCAATAGGCTAAATTTAGGACAATAAGCTAAATTTTGTATCATGTAGTTTCATTTTATTAAATGATTCACTCTAATAACAATGATAGGCATTAATACCACTGTTCCCCACTTATAATTTCTCAAATTATGCATTATTATACGCACGAAAACTGATAGCAATTCAAAGGCAAATGTTGATCCTAAAAAATCAAACTAAAAACTTCAAGTTTTACGACCAAATGAGAAAGACATTTCATAATTTTTCAACTTTTCTTTCAATCTAAAGAATGTTATGTATCAAAGCCTTTTAATTTTATTAGTTCATCATTGAAAAAACATGCAAAATTTATTCATATTTTCTTTATTGGAAATTTCCATTAAAATTTCCTTTATTTTTATAGACTCGTTTTGTTATTTGATAATGGTAATGGCTTAACAAAAATATTCGTTGTATATTTAGAAAATTGAATTAAATAAGCGTTTTAATTAATGCGATTCGCCAACAAAATTAGTTGGTTTATAATTAATAATTAAATTTTTATGCAGTGTCATTATGAATATTACTGAATTAATTGAATAACAATAGTATTTGTTTAAGCCAATTATTGCAAAATAACTTATCATTCTTAATATAAAAATATAGAAACATAGAGGAATATAAAAAATAAAAATAAATGAAAACAATCAATAATGATAAGAGCAACAATATTTATTAAATAAAAATATTGGTAACATTAATAATATCAATGACCGAAATAATTAAAAAGGTTTGTCTGGAAATTAATTGAAAATTTGCAAAATTTGCTTTGAGAATTCACCTTATATGCTTTTGCCTTTCATTTTCAAAAAAAACATTAATTCAGAAGACAGAAAACAATTTTTTTCCTGTTTCCTTTTCCTTTTCCTTTTTTCTTTCTTTCTCAAATTATCAGCACAAACTACAAGTCATCCGACATTTAACTCGCATATGAGTTGCATAATCGCCAATATTGCAAAGATTGCGATACTTTGGGCAATCGGCATGCTCATCACGACAGCTGCCTGCAGGCGGCACTGCTACAGTATTACTTTTAACAATTTCCCTGTATTTTTTACTTTTTGCCAAACTTTCTATGATTTTGACGATAGAAGGCTAGCTGTTTTACTTGAAGAGAATTATTATATGGATTATATAGTAGGTATAGGTGAACTTTTCAGTAAAAATGCAATTTAATATGGATCTTTCTTTCACCTTAATGTTCGGTGGAGAGAAAAACAAAAAAATGATTTTGAGGAAGATTCAATTGCTTTTTAAGTAATGCGGCATCGTTCACTTTTTCATCATTTTTAAGAATGCACAAATCAAAAATTTAAAAATTTTAAATTTTAGATTGCATAAATTTTAAATTTTAATAATATGTGATGCTATGAAATTTTTTTAAAAAATATGCAATTAAAATGCTTTCAAATTTGAATAATGCGATGCTTTTTATAAAACAGAAGATTTTCTATTCTCACTGCCGGTAATTCCATTGGACCAACTGGACATACCAAGTATCTCGAGTTGATTTGTAAGGCAGTCTCTTGAGAAACATGTTTTTTGGCATAGCCTTCTGACATTTTATGATGGTTTATTTGCTTTAAAATAATTTTTTTTTTTATTAAAGATTTAATTGATATAGTACGAGGATCATAAATCGCCATGAAATACACCAAACATTATTGCATAATTTCCATAAATGGTAATGTTTCATTGCTACTTTTGCATAAACTTTTGATATTTTTTGTATAAAGGAAAGAGACAGAGAATATTTCTAATCTGAAATTCTACTTGCAGAGGAGTGATGAAAAGGCGAATGCATGCAACCGCTGTACCGCTGCACAGAAAGAATCGGATGGCCGTGTCATTTCCATTTACCTGAAAAATACTGTAAAATAATGACATTCAGAAATTTTGGGCAATTTCTTAGAAGAAGGAATATTTAAAAACCCTGGCGTTTTTCGAAATATAAAAATATATAAACGAAAGATATAAAAGGAAGGCAAATTCTCTAACACATCATTTTGAAATCTCATATAAAATAGGATTTATTTCTACTATTCCAAATATTTCCATCCTTTCTTTATAGTTTTTTTACGAAATATAAAATTTTAACTTGCAAGAGAAACTCTTGCAAATGCAGTCCAAAGCTGCTCTATCAAACGAGGTTATAAAAAACAATACAACATAAATGTAAATGTATTACATAGTGTCACTGAAGTTATTTTGGATTTCGCATGTATACTCGATTTAAATTTGAATCTTTTTAATAACCAAGAAGAAGTATAGAATGACTATCATTGTTTATCAAATAATACACTGAACAATTGATAAGTAGAAAAGATTTGTTGATAAATAAAAGATTTTGCACTTTATCAATTGAATCATTCGATTTTCTTCATATTTTTGTTCATAAATTTATTGTAGCATTTTTTTTCAATTCCTGGTGAATATCTCAATTTATATAAAAAATATATATTTTTGAGAAGTGATTAAAATTCAAATTTTAACAAAGGTCGAAAGGTCGGACCAAAATTTGCTAAATATTCCATATTCCATAAATAAAAAACTGCATAGTCCGCATTCAATATATTACAGTTTGTTCTTCATTCACATATGTTAAACGAATATTTAAGCGTCAAATAGTAATAAACTGGCGAATAATAAAAGTTTAGAATTTTTGTTTAATATGCGCAAAAAATTTATGAATTTATATGAAATAATGAATTTTTGGAGATATTATAATGGCGTCTGGAAGAGTAAGTAAAGCTTTCTCATAAAAGCATACCACCTATAAAATCAGATATATATAAAATAAGGCGCATAAAATATAATTTGCCTGGATGCACAAACATAAAATTGTTAAGACTTTGCAAGACACTACTCAAAAAACATTATTTTCCTAAGAGATTGATCATTCCTCAACTTTCACGAAAATGCTTACAGCACAAGTAAAAAAGGCGTGTAGCAGTTATTAAAATGCCGAGTGCATGATAATTAAGTGGTTAAGTGGACGTCGACAAAATTTCAGTTAAATATGAGCTGATCAGAGCCCAGTCTAGCTGCACTGGGCAAAGATTAGACCCCCATTAAAAAGGTTTCCAAAAATTTCTTGTCATCAGTCGCTTATCACAATAATCTCAAAAAATAATCTCGTTAAAATAATTTTTTGCAAAGTCTTTTGGATTTGAAATCTTGCAAATTCGAAAGCTTTTTAAAAACTACTGTGGTGAAAGTTTTTTAGGAAGAAATATAAAAAAATAATAGCATTTTAAATAATAAAAAGAGGTGATTTCTCAAAAAAAATCTTTTAAAAATCTTTTTTCCATTTTTCGTGCTATTTGAAATATATTTGAAAATAATAATTTTGGTATAGTTGTGCTTTATGCAAAATTTTATACGTTTATTAACGGCTATATTAGCCCCCTTTTTGTTGCAAATAAACAATACAGTGTCGCTTATTATTAATGCAAATATTAATGCCAAAATTCCTTTAAATTGTCTCATTGTTCAAAGAATTCTTTTATTATTAAGAACAACAATTGAACTATAATTCACGTTATTAGTGATATATAAATTGCACGGATTACGTGCAATAACCGCAAGTTCTTGCGCACTGTTGCCTCATTGTTGTTTGATATAAACCGCCGCAGCTATTTGTGGCTCTGATTGCACACTTCTGCCTTTCGTCTCGACAAGCTGCTGCTGGAGGCGACAAAGTCGTCGCTGAAATACATGGAAATGTTTAGGTGATTTTAGATTTATAATTATTTATCTATTATTTATCTATTATATTATTTATAATTATTTATAATTATTAATTTTTTAAACATATTTGATAAATTATGTTACATATAATAATAATCAATAGTAATCAAAAATTTATTATAATAATTAATTATATAATAATATAATAATAATATTTATTTATAATAGTGATGAAAAAAACTCACTATCCTGTGGGTAATTACTTGCACCCTCAACCTCGAAACCTCGGCTAGAGGCTTGGGAGATTGGGGCTCTGCGCAATGTCTCAGCTGCTCCTAGTGCGTTGTTCTGGGCATCTCTGATGTAGTGCCGGGAATCTACTTTTGTAGTTTTGAGGGTTACAGTTACATTTGCTACAGTCATCACTGGGGTTACTTTGGTCTTTAATTTCCACATTTTCTCTAGTCCCTCTCCCTCTTTTAGCCTTTGCTGTTTCTCTAATTTCTCAATAATATCCTTGCTTCCTGTCGTATGGCATTCACAGTCACCAGTGGTAAATTCTGATTCTTGTCTATTATCCGCATCTGGTTCTTGCCTGTCTGAGAAGACAGGATCTTCGTCTTTTAATTCTCCACGATTTTCTGAGGAATTCCTTATTTAGTCTTGGGAAGATCTATCCCATATATCGGCAGATGTTCCTGTAGATGATGCCAGATAATTGGTTATGTTGTTCTTGATTGCATTTTACATCTTGCCTGCCACTATATTTTAGATTAATCATGGGGCATTTTTGAGCATTTAGAGTCCTGTAATCTTGTATGGTAGATCCCTGTTTCGATGAATCTGACGATGTGTTTGTTTTATGCTGCTATAATCAATGCCTCAGTATTGCCTTTTAGTCCGGCTTTCTCAAACCACTAGTCGCATTTCGCAATGTCTACCGCAGCTATCTGTATATATAGCAATCCATGAAGAGCCTTGCTTTGCCTGGTTATGCAATAATATGGTGATATAATAATTAATAAATATTTCATGTTTTTTAAGTTATAACTTATGATGTTTATTGTTGCGAAAAATTTTAACGTGGATAACTTGCGTGAAAATCTACTGTTATTTTTTATCTGTTAAGAAAGTTTCTCATCAAAAGAATTGATTTCAAAGGAATTAAAACAAAATTTTTGCTATCATCTTGCCGAACACTGAATTTTTTTAGCAAATATTTTTTATAAATATTCCTTAAAATAGTTTGGTGACCACTGTGATAGGTATAATTCTTTTAGCGAAAAAAAGTGCTGTGGTCAAGCAAATTTGCAGGTGACCAATGAAAATGAAATGAGTGCTGTATTATAGTGCTAATCAAAAGAAAAACCCTTTCTCACCCTCTTGTGGATGTTAAAGGCCATCATGTCAGCCTCGGAAATATACAATTTTTTACCAGAACTTTCCGTAAATTCAAATTCAAAATCAAATCTTTACAGGGATAGGATGGCTTAATGGGTTATTGCTCAATTCGGAGAACCAATACTTTGGTTCTATTTCTCGCAGAAATAAACCTGTCCAAAAATCCATGTGATGCTGGCGACTTACATGTATTTCTATCGCCAAAGGACTCTCTGGCATATTTATTCAGTGCGACGAACCAGTAGAGCGAGTTTAACCAGTAATGGTGAGGAATAATAAAATGAATAATAATCTTAAAATAAAAGAAAAAATGAGGAATTGAATAAAATTACATTATTTCGTTCTTTTTTGCAGACAAACAATTAGTTTTTTAACAAATTTTTCTTTTATTTAATTATTTTAATCTGTGTTTTACCTCTTTGCTTTACCTCTTTAAATGGCTATGGCTATGCAATCGCAATTTAACCATATGAATCAACGTCATAAATTCAAACAAATGCCTTTATATTTCACGCAACCATTTCCGATGAAGTGTATCAATTTGCTTTCAGCTAAAAATTCTCTTCTATCCTTATTTGTTTGAATTATTACATTCAATTAGTGCATCGGTTCAAAATAATTGAAGTAGAAATAATAATGCATAAGTAAAGCAATAACGATCTTTAATTATCTTTAATAACTCTATTACTTACTGAATAAAACTATGAATGATAATTGATAAAATGATAAATGGTGGAAATTCGCAAAAGGAAGAAAGAAATCGCACCTTAACAATCGCAACAATGATTAACTTTTTTTATTTTCAGTTAAAGTATGAAAACTATAAACTATAAAATTATTTTTTATTTTTTAGGAGCCGTAATCATTACTGGTTAAATTCGCACCACTGACTCGTCGCGTTGGGTAATAACCAGAGTCCCTTGGTGATAGAAATACAGATAAGTCACCAGCACCACACGGATTTTTGGACAGGTTTACTCCTGCAGGGAATAATACCTCCGCATCGACGTTCCCAATTGAGCAACAACCCATTGAGCCATTCTATCAATTTTTTATTGAGAGTCCTTTAAAAAGTTCCAGCGTGCATTTATGGTTTCATGTAAACTCCTCCTCACAAGATTTTCCGTATTCCACTTTAGGAACAAAAACCTAAATTGTAATTCATTTTCGTTAGATATTTAAACCTTTTGCTTTCACTTTTCCCTTTGAAGAATTATTGCATTTATTTGTATTTGAATTTGTTTTATTAAAACTATCGAAATTCCATCACGAACTACCATTTTAAAATAATGTTTATCATTCTTCACTTCTTATAACCTATTTTCATAGCCCTATTCATTTCATTTGCATGGCCATTCTTTCTATAACCATTTGAGAATATATGGTGGCTCTGTG